TATTGGCCTTAAGCTTATGGATAACAGATATTATTTTTTCTTCCGTCGGAGGCTCGTAGTTGCAAGCATATGGTTCAGCGAACGTATCATTTATATCAGGGGCAACAAATGGCACTTCATGGTTAAGTTTGGCATTCATTTGGCATTCCTAAAAGAATTCTTTCCATCTTATGAAGCAGTCCTTAATACTCTTGACTGGCACGCCATTGCTGTCCCTCACCATTTCATTGATTGCTCCCCAAATTATAGTTGCTTTATGAAGAAGGCGGAATAGTTTTCCTATCATCTCCTAATCAAGCCGCCGTCTCCGTTCTCAGGCCATGTCACTACAATAGTGATTTCTGTTACGCCTTGCTGCTTTCGTTGCAAATCTTCGAAGCATCCGGTAATCAGGATCACCTGACATTTGTGCTTTGGCAGCTTTTTTACACAGTTGCTTCCGATACCCAACTAGCACACTTCCTACTAGTATGCCCTAGCCTGGAAATGGCTGAATTTCGGAGAAATTCCTTTAGTTTGGACAAGTATTCATTTGTCGTTCCAGAAAAGTATTATTGATATTTGTATCACTGCGATGCTTCAACGATTCAGTTTGAAATGCGCTTACTGCCCGCGAATTTTTTAGTTTGAAATAGTTTAAGAACTTTGGGGATGCTGTTTATGCTGTTTTTTGCGAGTTGTCAGTTTTATGCGGATCTTGGCATGGTCAGATCCATGAAGATTACCCATTTCAGCGCCGCGATAGGGAACGACTATCTAGTGCGGAACTCTTCCAACGGTGATTGACTAAGATATAATCAATCTGGTTGAAGTGTTGGTTATCCAGGGAATTCCACGTGATTAGATCTTTTCTATGATGCCTGAAGCAAGTATTAGTATTAAAAAATTCATTCTCTTCGGCATAACGAAGAAGGCGTTCCCCATTGGCGCAACGGTCTCCAATGCCATATTTGCCAATTATTGAGGTCATTGTAGCTACATTATGATCTATGCGAGCATTCCAGTATCCCCCGATTATGTTCATGTCATGTTTCGGTAGAGACTTTGGCAGTTGAAGTTCGGCATAGAACTTATCTTTATCAATGACAGCTATAAATACATTTTTCCAGTTGGCAGACAAACGTCGCGAAATCGGCATAAAGACGAAAATCCGAGTCCATACAGCTGCGAATCATTTGATCTTGTTACTGATCTTGTGGCTACGAAATGGCCAATAAGATTGGAAAATATTAAGAAATTATTTGCCTTTAACCACTCATGTCTAAGATATATTTTATGGGTTCGCCGAGTAGATGAAATCTCACATGATCGCATCCATCTTCGCTCAAAAATCATCTGTATTAACAACACTAACATAGTGCGTCACGTCGCCTTCGCTGGTTAAGGCACGTACTCCGTAGTCTACCATAGGGATTGGCGCATTTTTCACTATTTGCCGAACTCTGTGATGGTCGGCGTCAAAAGCGAGGAGGTCCAATCAAGATCTGGACTGAAGAAAGATTTTGAAGGGACCAGCGATATATGGACTTAGACGATGGAAAACATAATGGCTTTTATAACTACTAGAGATGGCATCAGACCGAATAGCTTGTAGGCGTCTTATCCTTCAATAGCTTGTAGGCGTCTTATTAGTCAGGGAATCCAGTAGTAATGAAGAAGAAAGAATGAATTTATAAAATGAGGCATTTTAAGAGCCTTTTGCATACAAAACGAAAAGGCTTTTTTTTATTTATATTTATCCTAAGTCCGATTCTCGCTTCTCGCTGCAGTTGCTGACATGTTCTTTATTTAGCATTGTTTGCATGTCGTCATAACTGTCAGCAAAAAGGCCTGCATCATCAGTGTGCTATGTTCTGAACTGGTTCGCACAAGTAACGACAAGCCGACAATCAATATCCATTATGCAGTCTATCGCATAATTGAATATTGTAAGGAAAAGGATACAGAATTGATGGACACCAGTGTTTATTTCGAAGGATTTTGTTAATTTCGCAGTATGCTGATGCCTGCATATGCTGATAAAATGCTTTTATAAGTCGAATGATCTTCTCTGGAACACCATCGCGTACCATCACCCTCCAAAACGCCGTTCTATCAATTGAATCAAAGACAGCTGCGTAACGTTGGTTGCAAATATTTGAAGCGTTGTCCAATACCCTTCTCAACGTGAATATCTGGTGAGCATAACCGCGCCCCGGCTTAAATTTAGCTTGATTAGGGCGCATTCTTCTCTCGTATTGCCACAAAATCGTCGAAAGACCACTCTAAAGTCTTCGAAAGTTTTTATAATGCGAATTGCTTCGCTAAACCCGATCTTTCTATCCATCACTTATTGTCAATATTAAATATGTACGCAATAGGCAATATTATTAAATATCAAAAGAAAAATGACTTGTTTTACGAGAAATATTTATTGACGATAAAACTTCCTCTGAATCATTTATGCCATTTTACCTACAAACAACTAAGTGGTTGGATTTTTTAAAAAATCGCTATTTTTTTTCGGAATGTTGATGGAATTTATAATTTAAAGATGAGAAATGGAATCAACCAAACTAATCGAAGAAATGATGAAAGCGTTAGAAAAAAGAGAATTTCAATTTTTTTATAGTTTAACTCAAAACAATTTTGAAGTTTCCATAAAAATGAATATTTAATTAGAATATTAGAAAGAATATTTTATGAGAACATTTTTGTGCATTATTATTTTCACGTAAATTTATTATTTCTGTCTATTCTGCTTGTTCACTCTGTTTTATCGGTTATTTCCTTCTATTCCCACCATATTTCCGCCATCTGATGCATCTTGTTCCGCGAGTTTCATTCGTTCAATCGCTTTCTTCGCATCTCGCTCGCTTACGTATCGCCGAATTTCGTGCCTATATTTAGAGAAATCATTGGAAAATGGCAAATCTATTCGATGTATATTTTTAAAATTTGACTTGAAAGTATTAATCATATCAAAAATTAAAGTGAATTATAAATCATTACAAATCTGTGAATTTATATAAACTTTAATCATAAAACCTGCGGTAAAAAAACTCATGAGATGATTTTACGGCCATAAATAGTGTGGCTTAATTAGGTCAATTTATTATTTATGTATTTATCAGTTTTTCAAATTATATTTTTTGATACAGTTAACTGAAAAATATAAGAAATATATAAACCTGAAATCAACGATCTCTCCTGGATTGAGGTCACCAGAAAGATCTACGTCGACCTTCTCAAAGAATTGCCTTGTAATGGCGCGATCGACTTTATATTTTTGTTCTATGAGTTCTTCGAGTTCATCCACTGTTACCGTTTTATCTTTGTTGGTATCAAATTCCTTAAAGCATAAAATTTCTTTTTTATTTTTGCTTATTGTGTATATAAGGAAGGTTTTTTTTGAATAGAAACTTAAATTATTCGGAATTATCAGTTTATATTCTATAGATATTAGCACTGATTGAATACATTGAATATATTAAAACTGAAGATTTCCTTATCAAAATGTACAAAGCATTCGTTCGGCCACTTCTTGACTACAATGATACATATCACTCCCCAAGATATCGTAAATCAAGTAAAATAATTGAAGAACTCCAAAAATATTTTACACGGCGCCTCTCTCCTAATTGCAATTTTTAATTATAAATTTTATATTTAATAATTTTTAATTATAAAAGAAAACTTCTACAATATAATTATAACTTCTACAATATCCTGGATTATCTGTCAGTTCGTCGTATTAAAAAAGGTTTAATTTATAATTATAAGATTCTGTATGGTTATGTTAAACTGGATTGTTCAAAATATAATTTTAGGCTAAATTTAAATCCAACAAGAACTAATGGGCTAAAATTACTAAAACCTATGCGTAAAACTAAACTAAGGACTCATGATTTTTTATTCGTAATATTAATTAGTTTAATAAAGTACTGAACGATATAGCTTGTGCGCTATCCCTAGCTATCTTTAAAAAAAGAACAGATAATATCATTCTTGATATTTAAAAAATTCACATCGTGCAGAAAGTGTGAAATCTCGATTTTCACCATTCGATTATAGTTATTTCGAATTGTACTGCATTATATTATTTTGCAATATCTTCTTTATTTCATCTTTAAATTGTTTATTTATTTTATTATTATTATTTTATTTTATTATTATTTTTTTTGTTTTTGTCATTAATTCTTATTATTTGTTATTTTAACTGTTGTTATTAATACAAGCACATGGCGTTTGTGCCCTGCTTGGCTGGTTTTCAATAAATAAATAAATAATATATATATTAAATCTTTAATGGTCAAACAGATAAAAATCTAACTCGAAAATGATCTGTAGCAAATTTGATTGCGCTCAAGCGTACGAGCCTTAAAAAATCAGCAAGCTCGACCTTATCCAATTTGTTACTTTTGTCCTAAATATGATAATAAGCATATTTTCTCAAAGAAAACATTTGCACTAGGTTTTTCTTTAAAATATCCAGCATAAATAACAAATTCTTTTAAACCGCAAAATGTCCGTTAAAAAAGCCAATCGTTAGCAAAAGAACCTGATCAGCTACAACAAACAAATTAAATGTCTCTTTTGGATCCATATCATCTTGTCGTCGAGCAGTAGCTACTGCTTCTGAATTGCTAACTAGTCCATCTCCATCTGTGTCAATATCCTAAATTAATGTTTTTCATTTCGACTGAGATTAAAAGAAATTGCGAAATAATAATAATGAAAAGTCCGTAACAAAAAGGCGAAATTTTAAGAGATCTTAAAAGAGTTTTCGCGGGTTTTTAGGGGATGTTAATGAGTCACAACAAGAGGCTATCGGGATCTGGGGGGTAATCGGAGAATGTCGAAGAGTGTTGAGTAGCGAGAGAGTGAAGGGTTATTTTGTAATGTTGTTCATACTATTCATAATCCATAAATTATGGCAAAATAACATTATAAATAAAATTCGACGTAGCATTAAAGGATCTTCGATTGCGATTTGGCAAATTTTCTGAGCATTTCCATGAATTGTGGTAGTAATTGTGGCACATTATTAATTTTCACAATCTTATTTTTTTGATAAAAACGTTAATAACAAGTGTGGTATACCTGCAATGTGTCTAACGCGTTACGCACAGCTTTACTTCGAATAACAGATCGGAATCCTGCAAATTCAACTGCATCTAGCTGGCCATCTTCATTTTCATCAGCTTGTGCAAAGAATGGGGCCAAGATTTTTTCGTCAAAACCATAATGATCAAAAGCAATTTTTTTTGCTTCTTCCATGGTTAATGTTCCGGAACCATCTCGGTCCACCACCTTAATTTATTTAAACTTCAATTTGATGGTCTCTAATTTCATTTTAATGATACTATTTTCAAGGAAAATTAACTTTTCTTGCATATTTTATCGCTGAAAATCGCTAAATCGTTGAAAAATTTAAAAATAAATTTAGTTACTTTCAGTGCTTTCTTAGAAGTTTCCACTGCTCGAGCTCGAACTATTCGCTCGAAATCAGCGAATTCTGGTGCATTCAATTCACCATCATTATTATCATCCACGGATGCTAACATTTCATTTGCATCTGCTGAACCGATTCCTTCTTGCTCAAAGGCTATTTGTTGTGCTTCCTTCCGATCTATATGCCCATCTTCATTTGCATCTGCATGCTAAAACCGTTTCAATCAATCAATAATGCCTCAAAAATTAACTTAAAAATGTCACTGTGAGATTTTTGTACTACGGTGGCAAATGCAATTCCTTTTGAAGATGAATTAAGCATTAAGCACTCCCTTAAATCTGTGTGGCTTTAATATTTGTCATTTTATTTACATTTTATTTACTAATATGATTCTTCTTCCAACAGCGTCTGTTATTTTCGGTTTGCTGGTTTCTATTAAAGTAGTTGGAGAGCCAAATGGAGATGAACATACAGGTGAATCTCATCTTGGTCAGATGTCACAAATTTTAAGACAAATTTTTAAGACAATTTCTTCTGTCAGAGGAACCGAGCTACTATTGCTTCTCCTAATCAAAATAATATATCACTCATTTATATTACATTTTATTTTGCGATTATTCTATCAAATATTAAATAACATTACGCTTATTATTCGGGTATTCATCCACATTTATTAATGAAAATATTTCCAATTAATTTTGGATTTTATTTTCACGCTTTCACGTTGTTCTGTCGCAATCTGAGCAGAAGCGCAGTTAATCATTTTTTTCGGAAGAGCCAATTTAATCACACTTTTGAGATTATTCGATTGTGAGGCTATTTACTGTGGATTGTAAAGCAGTTCTTAAATAGGAAGGTGTAGAGAAAGCACAGCGATTACGCTTTTTTTTTATTCATGTTCACTCGAATCTGCGTTAATTTCGTGTTGGTCATTTTTTCGCTATCATTAAATTGTCGTATATGACTAAGCTTATGCCATGTGATGGATCGAGAGCGAGGAAAACGAAGGCCGTTTGAAGATCCCCCACATTTGTGGCTAGCGCAGCCAGCCCAATCATCAGCACTAGAGACAACACAGCTCAAATTATCAATCCAAGGCCGTCTCGCTATAATTTCAGGTAAAAAAAGCAAGAGAATTACTTTTATAATTTGTCGCGCCAACCTGATAGACATTCCACGAATTCTTCGCCTTAATTTACTAAACATTACTGAGTCCATTTCCATATTACTATTCGGCAAAACTAATCGCCATATTCGTTCAACATCTCTATTCCCAATACCGTATTCTTTTAATATATATGCTTGCGCTTCTTTCAATGATAATAAACCATTGTTGTCTGTATCAACGATCTAAAACTGCATAAAAATTTTTTAAAACAAAAATTGTTTAGAAGCGAAAACTGGCAAATGCATATCGATAAAGAACGAACAAAATTAGATAAACCTGTAAGTATCGTAGAGCAGCATTCTCGGCCTTCGATAGTACCAAAGGCCTGATATCATTAAATTCCAACGAAGTGAGATATCCGTCTCGATTTTTATCGACCTATATATATATATATATACATATATATATGACAAAATTATGATATGATTTATAAATTTATAAGTAATCAACAATAATGATAGAACGTCACAAATATTAAACATTGCATTAAAATTGTATTTAATAAAATAATTGGGAAATTAAATTAAAACTAAATCATAAGTTAGGAAAAAGATTACTTCATTGAAAAGGCCTTCCACAACACTGCTTGAGAGACCATGGTGAACGAAAGCAGCGTATTGTACTTCTGCTAAGCTGAATGCACCATCGCCATCAAGATCAACAGTTTTATCAACAGTTGGTAATATTGAAGATCCTCTATTTTTAGGGAGCCCAGTTGTTATTTGAGGATGTCCAAGAAAATCTGAATTCTGATATGTGATTTAAAAAATTTATTACTGTGCATGCTGAAACAAGCATCTGGACCACACATGACTTTATTAAGAAAGATGCCAATTTTTAATGCAATTTCTACAATTGAAACCAGTAGTACCATTCATTTTTTAGTTTGGTGCAATTCTAATTGTGTGCCAATCATCAAAAAACTTGGCATTTAAAAAATGTCGAATTTTGATTTTAATTTTCATTATGCAATATGCTATTATGCGTTAATGAACTCCAAAAAAATGAAAATTTAATTAGTTGGCCTAATGATTTTGCACAAGCTCTGAAATACTTCTGAAATTCTGAAAAATTTCAGAATTTTTTTGGAAAATATACTTGTTTGTTGTGGTTCTGGTACTGAAGAAATCCCCGGAGTTTGTCTCAATAATTGCATTTTTTTAGTAATTTCTTTCTGCTGATTGCCTATAAGAACAGAATTATTTCTGGAAAGTATTTCGAATTTTTAAGATAACACAATATAATATAATATAATATAATTATAATATAATATAATATAATATAATATAATATAATATAATATAATATAATATAATATAATAAATAATACATAATAATACATAACATAGTATGATATGATATCATATCATATAATCTGGAAAAAAGCAATACCTCGTTCCTCAATTTGTTCACTGGTTTGACGACTCGTATTTGATGCCGTACGTGTTAATAATACAAATAATGTTGATAAAATAATTGATTTACACATATTTCAATGAAATGCGTGAACAATTGAGTATTGAACAATCTTTTACCTAATAAAATTTATGGTGTTTAGCTTAATACTGATAATTAACGATATTTATTGATTTAAACAAGGAGAGCAAGCAGAGCATTAAGCATGCCTATAATTTTCCTTATTTTTTTTTGCATGAGTTAGACTGATAGAATTAAATTATTAATAAATTATTTATTATTAATTATTTATTATTAAATTATTTATTATTATAATAAATTATTACAAATATTGTATACAAAAATAAGAAAATCAAAATCCCTTTCTCATCCATTATGGCTTATCCTCAATTTTGGTTTCTCTACCAAAGGCCTGGTAGCTTGAAGGCTTTATACATATATATTATCATTTGAATTTATAGCACGATATAATAAATAAAATAATAGAAGAATGATTATTACCAGATAAAAGCTAAATTTTTTTTAGGAGCATTTCTCACCATTTTTGATTAAGCTTTGCTAATAAGCCTTCCTTCCTTACCACATAAATTTTGCCAGGGAGTAACTTAACGACAAAAATGCAGGCGATAGCACTGAAGCAATGGCGCACAGACCTCGTTATAAGGTAATTTATTCTAGTATTATGGGAGGATGAAGATAAAATTCTGCAAACAGATTTTAACAACTTTAGCCTGTTGGATCTAGTCACGCTTAACAGATTGAGATGATAATACAATCGAGTTTAATCTAGTCATGCATGTCAGCAAAGAAGATTTCCTTTTTATTTTTAAATGTCTAATGTCTAAAATATAAATAACAATACTATAGAGGATTATTGTCCTAAGTCGAAATAAAAATCAAGATTTTCCTACAAAATTGTACTCAGATTTGGAATATTATTGAATGTTATTAATAAAAATTGATGGAATATCGGACTTTCTCGATTTTTCCCCAATACATTGCATTTTTGGAAGGGGATAAGCAGGATAATCTGGCTAAAACCATTTAATAATTGTGTTTTTAAGATTATTTTTTAGAGAGAATGAATTCGAGAATCCGATCGATTATTAGCCGAATAGATTTTGATAACTTATCAATAACAATTATCATTGTGATTACTAATGTTTCTGCTTTACCACTGTTATTATTATTGTTTTAGGTTTTATTACTATTATTATCATTTATTATTGTTGTTATTGCATAATAATAGAAGCAATATATTATCAACAATATTAAAAATAGCATAATAAATATTAAATATAGGTTTAATAACGTAAAGTAAAGGCAAATTGCTGTAGCAATTACAGTTTTATTGATGAACTATAAGTGATAATAAATGCTATTGGTTATGATTATAATATATACTGTAATTTTGCTTTTTTCTTTCTTTTCCAAGTATTTTTTCATTTTATAAGTATTATATAAGTATTTTTTATTCATTTTTCCATATAATTATTTTTTTTGATGGTTTATAAATGAATTGGACTGATAGAATTAAATTTACAAATTATTTTTGTATATATCCATATATATATATATATATATGGATAGAACCTTCAAGCTACCAGGCCTCTAGTAAAGAAACCAAAGTTGAGCATATTGCCACCCATAGTGGATAAGAAAGGGATTTTCTTACTTTTATATTATATATACAAAAATAATTTGTAAATTTAATTCTATCAGTCCAATTCATTTATAAACCATCAAAAAATAATTATATGGAAAAATGAATAAAAAATACTTATATAATACTTATAAAATAAAAAAATACTTGGAAAAGAAAGAAAAAAGCAAAATAAATTCCATAAAAATTACATGATAAGGAAAAATTAATCATAATTAACTAATTTGTTTGCATGGAAATAGGAAAAAATATTTTTCCGAACAGCCGACTTGCAATATATAATATATAAAACAAAGGTGTACTTAAACAATTCATGAATAAATGGAATTATTTTGCAAGTTCATAGGCAATATCAAAAGGATAATAAAAGTTATAGGTCACTGAAAGGGGTCAGTGAAAATACAAACACAAAATTTAGAACAATAGAAGAGTAAAGGATTCGTTCGTTGTCGGAAGATCTTCACAATGAGATATTAGTGAGCATTTTAGTCAATTCTAATATTTCATTCTTTATAGAAAGTTTTTAAATTGGACATAAAATTTTTTTAGGGGTTTTTTTCACATAGGGGTTTTTAAACGATCTTTAAAGATTTTTAAAGCTTTAAAGATATTTTGGTAAAGTAAGGGCAGAAGAGTTTAACGATAATTGCTTTGGAAAGATTACGTTTGAACTATTGGCTAGATCTATAAAATTACTTTTACTGAACTATTCGATCCGTGAGTCAAAGTCCTTTTTTTCAGCTTAGTTCTTTGGAATGAAATATTCTAAGAGCATTACAGTAAATGAAACCTGAAGTTCTGAAGTTTTAATACGACTTATTCAATTATAAGAACCAAGATTAATATGCCATATACTGATGCCGGTAGTTATAGTTATCAAATTTTCGATAAGCAATTAGCAAATAGCATATAGATATACTGATTCTTGAATGGATCAAGACTGCTAATGTAGATTTATTTTCATTCGATGAATCTGAAAGATGGAGTCCAATTTCTGATTCAGCGAAGAAAGGAATTTTCACGAAATTTAATTGATGCTTCCAGATTGGTGAATGCTTTGCTAGTGAAATTTGAAAATTTAAGATTTTCAGATTTAAGAAAAGAATCTTATCATTTGAATTTTATAGTATTTGAGATAGATTAAATTTGAAGAAATTGAAATTTAATTCATTAAATTTCAATTTCAAATTTCAAGTTTTATAACAACATTAGTACAATAAAAGTAATTTTTATAGATCTAGCCAATAGTTTGATTCAGTTCCACCTTCTTCATATAAAGAATCCGCCATTAAAAGTGAAAAGAATCTAGATACTATACTATAATACTATAAATCTATTCTTAATTGACTTCAGGGATTTTCAAGCAATAAACTTCGCCTGGAAAATAGCAAGTAATTAATAAAGTGTAACAAATAAAACAAAGGCAAACGCGACTGATTACGCTATTAGATCAAATAATTACAAAGGAAATTGAAGAAAGACTGATAATGATTGATAAATGACTGACCTAGATACTCATTGTGATTTATTTAAATTTTATGAGAATTTACGTTTGAATGAACGAATGAAATCTTCCTGCCTCAATAAAATTTCATTTCAGTTTTCTATGACATATTCACGCAGATTTATAGTATTTGAATTTATATTTACATTGGCAATAAAAAACTGATAAAAGCCACTGATAAGAAAGGGTTGTTTTAAACCTCTAAATTATGGTGATATCACTAGCAAAGATCTGTTTATTATTGCAGACTGCTTATCAGTCCCACCTCTCTTTATTTTCAGCATTCGCTATGTTCCTATAGGGCCCTCTCCACGGTGAATCGTTTCCTCGAGAACCATTCGCTAGAATCATTTTAGAATAAAGAAGCGAGTTCTACAGCTGCTTCAATCTCACTTGTATTGATAATTTCAAATGCTCACACTAAATGCTTTTAATCAAATTTTATATGTCAAAGGAGCTAAGTTAAAACCGTTTTGTAATTTCTACGAATTTGTATTTATTAAAAAACATTTGCACGGAATGGGATTCGAACCCATGCATCGATTACGATACCAGAACACCCATGGTGCTGCGCTCGCACCAAGCCAATGCTTGAGTCTGGCGCCTTAGACCACTCGGCCATCCGTGCACACTATCCCGTGACTTAAATTTCTACTTAAGATTCCCCATATCGGGTATAGATTTGCTGTAGGTTTACACATCTATCTCTTTCAAGTCAAATAAATCACCACCAACAACTCTACTCTTCTTGATAATTCATTATGTAAGTTAAGTAATTCTCCCATTCCTCCCGGTAATATTTATTTCCCTATAGTCCAAGTCTTGTGATTTGACTAAAATCAGAGATTTTGAATGGCCCAGCGATATAGGGGATTAGGCAGCGAAAAGGAGTCGCGAAAATGATGTCTCTGTTTCTTCGAAATAAAACGTCTATAAACTATTTAATAATGGTGAAAGAGGTGCGAGGTAAATTATTCGGTACTTTGAACAATTTATTATGAACTGATGTTCCATTAATTACCATTTTCTCAAGATCGTTTTATAATTTTGCCACTTTTCTAATTGGTTGCTTTATATGTGGTGAAACAAAGAGGGTTTTTTAAATTTTTGCTCTTATGTTATGTCGGTCTAGAATTACATGCTAATGCCTGGTTTCTCACGTTTTACTTTGATCCTTTACAATTTCTTGGTGATCCTGTCAATGCCTTTTTCCTGTATTTTCATACAAATCTTAGTTGTAAAATGGATTCACTTTCAGCTTTTCAGAATTTCCACAAGTTTGACTAGAATATTATTAATTCTGCTATAGCCAGAATTCTGCTGAAACTCTCGACTATGAACTTGACCTTATTGGCGCTGTTAATTCTTGTCATGCAATATATCCTTTTAATTTAATCTCGTTTCTTTCCTCATATTATTCTTTCATCAAGTAGCTAAGCAAATTTCTTTGGTCTCTTGTAAGTCAGTGCAACCGAGACTAAAATTGGATTCCCCGCAAGAGTAAGCCTGTAATAAATATATTTTATTATAACATGTTATGGTTATAAAAAGGTTGCAGAAAACAGGATGGACCATAAACAAAATAATTAGCCATGCGAATGAAAAGCAATAATAGATTAAGGAAAACATTGAAAAGGATGTTTGGAGATATCAATAAAATAATGATAAAATTTAAAAATATTATATATAATGATAATAAATTGAAAGCAATAACTTCAATAAAGCTACAAAATAATCAGCCTAACTAGTAATAGTTCGCACTATAAGAAAAAATTTTTGGATTCGGTGGATCAATCTTCGCCAATAATCGTGTTTATTATTATAAGAAAAAGAATTTAAACTATATCAAGTGCGAACCAGAGGATTCTTGTAACCAGAGGAGCCATTGTGGTATTCGTTAATAGAAGAATTTAAATAAAGCAACAATATATAACAAAGGATTTTGCAAATAAGTTCGTAGCAAGGAATTCTTAAAAAAAAGAATAAAAGAAACAATTTGTGAGATGTGTAGTTGGTACAAACGATCTCTGTCTTATCGTTATAGCAATTCTAATTCAACGAACTTTTTATCAAAAATTTTCAAGGACATTCAATAGAAATTCAAATGAAATGGCCGCTTAACTCTCGAAATATTCCATCTTTTACGAAAATTATTTTTTACCATTTATTTATTTCAATGTATCGTTAAAGTAATCGCCACTTGTAAACTGAAAAAGATTAGAATAATAAATAAATTATTTTAAATATTTAAAATCTTAAGATTTATTAAGATTTACAAAAAATATAACGACCATCATTCATTCACCGCATATTTTTTGATATTAACTTTACAGTGATATTAAGTGATGAGCTATTCACTATTTTTGGTTGGACTAGCACCGCTGGCTGTTAGTACGATTGTAACTTTTTGCCATGGAAATACTTAACGGTAGGTGGGTCACCAATACTATTCGGATTTCTTAATAATAAATTCACTCTTAAAGGGGGCAGGAATCTGGCTGTGCCTTCTTGTTACAATAATCTAACTGCAGTATTGCTAATACTGCTTCTCATTCATACTATTGAATTATTATTGTATAGGCGATATATTTTTCTTTATAAGTAAAGATATTTATAAGCAACTTTGGCAAATGGCAAAACATTAACCAATATCACCTCATAATTTTCATCAAAAGCGTCCCAACTTTCTTCATTGTCGCTATTCATCTCAGAATCACTATTTCCCATCGATTTACAACTGATGTAACGACGAAAGATTCGAAAATCGTAGAAAGGATCCTCCTCAAAAAAAGGAATATACAGATTCATCCTATCGTTGTTTCAATTTATCACTTTTCGCATGAAATTTTTAACTGAACTTGACTTTTCAAAAACACTTCTCGAATTTCGAATCTCGAGTTTTAAGTTAAAAACTCGTCTGCTTATGCGATATTTAATATAAGGTTAAAAGAAGAGGGATTCTAATCCATTTTTCACAACGTAGATGATTTTTAGAATTGAATTTAAATGGAGATGCGAAGCTATGCGAAGAAATCGGCTGCATTCAGCTTAATTTAAAACTGTAAAAAACTGTAAAATTGTAAAAAAAATAGGGAAAGTTATGTTTCTAAAATTATTTAGCTGATTAAGATATTATGATTATGATTAGGCACCTATGTGGTAAAAAACTAATAAATAATTGGGATAGAATAGTTATTTCAAGAAACAGTATATGATTCATTAAGCTGTGATTAGATCACCTAAGCATTAGCAATCTGGTAAAAACTATTAGAACAGCTCATTCTATCTCGCCAGATTATATATCAATATCACTGAATAAAGTTTCAGGATTTACTTTAATTTTTCTTTGATTTCAATCAAGGAAAACCTTTTTCTCAGCGATATTTGCCCAGTTTGTTGACGAGAAATAATCATGAGAACTTATTTGTTCAAAATTCTTTAGTCTCAAGCAAATTTTCAATTCAAGCAACTGAAATTTTCTGTTTTTTAGGTTAAATTTTTGAAAAAATTGGAAGAAGTATTTTCAATTATCTCTCAGATTCATTTCATACTTTGTTACCTATGAATTTAATTTTCGAATGGAAATTTTAAGAGAAAAATTTTCTACCTTATTGAGTAAATCGGAAAAAATTTCTCCAAATGATGGATAGCAATAGTCGTCAAATCTAAAATATTAGGTAAATAAATAATTGATAAAAATTGAAATTGATAAAATAGTTGATAATGATAATTCTATGATAAATGTAAGTTAAATAAGTTAAATCAGAAAACTAATGTAATTTATAATAATAAACGATTGTATGATTATAAATGAATAAAAATAATATTTTTTATCATAATAAGATAATACTTTAATTCACGAAGTAGGAATTTGCTTTATGGTTTTCATAAAAATACTCACCATTTGCGCCTAGGATCCCTGGCATATCAGACCGGACAAATTTTACTACAAATAAAAATACTAGTGTTTATTCCACCCAACTCAATAATATAATAGAAAAAAATACCTTAGCTGTTCATGATTGTTTACATTGGAATTTGGAAACGGGAAAAAACCATTCACAAGTACGTAAAGTAATACACCATACGCCCACCAATCAACTTCGTAACCATAACCTAATTGCATCAATATTTCTGGCGCCATATACTATAATTAATAATTCATGCGTAAACTTTTTAAAAAATCTGCAGAATAATTCTCATATATTTTTAAAATTACATAGTTTTCTGGTTAGTTGGAATTTTCATCATTCACTATTTGATAACAAAATTTTTAAAATTTCAACTAAAATTTGAAAGTTAGAAAATAAGAGAAAATAATTTTAGCAAATTCATGCCTCGACAAATCTTAGATCATAAAAATTAATTTGAAGCAATACTTGCAAAGTTCCACAAATTGTATAGGTCCGATTGCTATCGTTCAATCTTTTCGCTAATCCAAAATCAACAAGTTTTAAGTGTCCGTCTAAATCCAGCACGATATTTTCCAGTTTTAAATCGCGATATACGATTCCATTCGCATGAATGTAATCTACAAGTTTTACAAATTTGAATTGTCTTCAAAAGTCACTTACCATGATTCGTAAAAACAAACCTAAAGTAAGTGCGATTTCAGCTGCGAATATTTTGATGGAATCTTCATTAAAAGGACCATAATCTCTCCAAAATGTAAATAAATCACCATAACCCATTACATATTCCATCAAACTGAATAGCTGAGTTCTTGATTGCCACGTATCATATAGTTTGGCAATGAAAGGTGATTCCGCTAAATTCTTCTAAACAATTTTGAAATATATTTTGAAAACTCCATTAGGAAAAAATCTAAAAAATTCCAAAATTTTCCGAAAACTTATAATAATAAATTATAAAAAATTCTCGGAAAATAGAATTAGATAATTTGCATTTTAATAAATTATTGCAAAATAAATTAATGTAATGCAAAAGAAATAATATGACTTAAAAAATTGTGACAAAAATTGATTAAATAATTTATATTTAATGATGCGGTAACTGAGTGGCTTTCCTCAAACTGTCCCTTCGACTACCAAATTTCGGGACTTATCAACGATAAAAATGGACCTACCTTTAAGAAATACCTGCGCTGGAGAAATGCTTGAGGTTTATCTGCATTTCTTCCCTCAAGTGAAATTCACTAGCAAAAATTTTTTATCTTTCAAACAGCCAGTGAAGCCAACAAATTTTTATTTATTTTAATTTATTTATTTGAACTTTTATTTATTTGAATTTAATTTGACTTCAATCAATAAATCTAAAATTAACAAAGAAAATCTGACTTTTTTCAAATTTATTTCCAAAATTCATTTATATTTATGAAGAATTAAAAATTCACATGAATTAACACTTCGTTTTTAATCTGTTTTTCGGCATTTCGATGCAAAATTTGATTTTTTTGCTGAATTTTTAATGCAAATAATAATTCAGTTCGATAATTAAGACAGACACGATACACTTTGCCAAATGATCCAGAGCCAATACAATTTAATATCTAGAAAAATATTCTAATATTTGAAAAAAATTATTTTAGCTAATCAAAAAGCAGTTTTAAAAAAATTTACCGAAAAATCTTTCTCAGTAAGTAATGATTTCATCGGGAACTGTGGAAGAAATATTGCTTCAAGCCAAGGAATTGGCCATTTACATTTGTAAAGCGAGTTATTTGCATCTAAAATTGCATATTTGCAAATTTGTATATTAAGAGAAATTTTCAAATTATTGGAAATCCTAAAATCCTGACAATCGCCAATGAAATATTATCAAAAAATTTGAACATATGGAATTACAACTACTATTATTTCTTTCATTTTCCACAATAAGTTTTACTACTGTAATTAATGTCCTAATTAAAATTACAAATCAATAAAAAATCTGAAAATTGTACTGAAAAACTAAATTTAAAGCTTTCCTAATTTATAATTTATAATTTATTTTAATTTATAATTTATAATTTTCTAATTTTCTTATAAATTTTTTAAATTCACAAATAGGAATAAAAACCTTTTCCAAAAGAATATTTCTGCCGCTTTGAGCACTTATCCTTTGACCTTAGTTTTAGATGTTTTACAATATTTCGGTTAAAGTTTCGGTATAATTTAGGTTTCTTCATAATCAAATTGTATAATGAAAAATCTTCTAGCGATTTTGTTAAGAATTTTTTAGCCTTTAACTGAAAATTTTCATCGGATAAAATTCTATAATTATTATATTATTAACTGTAAATGTCAAATAATAATTCTGCAGCTATCGGTTTGATCAACAATTATTTAAAGATTAAAAGGTTAAACAATATCGTCCATCATATCATTTAGAAGCTTCGCATTATGCAGGAATTTTGAAATCCAGCGTGTTATTCCGTGATTCCCCTTTATATATATTATTTCTCTTTACATTGTAAGCCTTCCGTCACATTTCGTTTGTATTGTATATTTCTATCACAAATTTCTTTTCATTTGGCACCTTATTTTGTCGTTGGCTAAGGCAAAAACATCGCCCTCCGTGGTTGTTTCAAATAATTCAATAAATTTATGCCTTTCCTCTCAAATTTGGAGGATTACTGCTTCATCCGCATTATAAAACTCTCTCATAAAATTTTAAAAAACCGCATCGTTTTCACAAACACTTCACTTATTCAAATGGTACATATTTAGACGACTGTAAATTCTAAATGTCAATTCCGAAAATCAGAGTTACTGCACTGCAATCATTCTTTTCATATCATTGAATGGGACTTAAGCTTAGACTTTCGACTTATAATAATTTGCATATTCTCTCCTCTGCGTATTTGCTTTTTTCGATCTTTTCGATAGATTCTTTTAACATTAAATATGATATAGCATAGCTTATTTTAAAACGAATAACCTTTAGTTGATGTGGAAATTTGATAATTTGATTGGAACTCCCTTGATTAAAGGTCGGCTTTTTATAATAATTACTTTCAACCAACAAATTATCATTTAGGTCAACAGCGGGTAGTGATCGATGATTATTCACTAAATTATCATGATAATTCGATTTTTCTCGGGAAGTTAGTCATTTGTCATTTGGTATAATAACAATAAACTTAAAAAATTGCCATCAGAAATTGGTTCACCATTATGATAACTTCCTTGAATAGTATTAATGATGCGATTTGTTGTTATCAACCGAGTGGAATCCGTAGAATTTTTTGATGGCACATAATCCATATAACTAGAGTTTAAATTGGATTCTATCGACTTTTCGAAATTATTGTTATATTTTTGTTCAACTATTGTTGCCATTGTATTTACATCGTTCATATGTATTTCGTAATTACAGGAAGCCACTGTTGATTCTTGAAATAATGATTCATATTCAGTTGATTCAGAATCTGCAAAGGATAATGATGTATCGTCAGGAATAGCGTAACTGAAAGTAATTAATTCCAGGTTAATGCGACTTATATGGCCTAGAGCCATCAAATGAACAAATATGCTAAAGGTTCTCTTGAAGAATAAATTTAATTATTTTAAAGCATGATTGAAAGCACTAAGTTAACTCGATGAAGCTAGCCGAACTAAAAATAATATATGAAAAAAAATTGCTATTTTAATTCTTCTTCTCCCCCTTCTAATACCTTATTTCTAGTTTAGCTGCTTCCATTAACTATTTGGATCTGATCCTTTCATTCAGTGGGTTTCTGGCACCACGTGGATTTCATTTTTGATTTTTCAAGATGCAAGAATTGAATCTATGATGGTTTAACCTACTCGAGGCAACAGACGCCATTTTATGACATAAGTGAAAAGTGGTTAATAAACTAATAAATTAAAAAATTAAAAAAGTTTTTGTTTTTGAATGGTGTTATTCAACTTAAAAAAGGGGAAACAAAAGTAGTAAAAGTTTTCTGATACTTTCTTCCTATTGACGGAGTTATATTACAAATAAAGTGGATAATAATAATAAATAAATAATAATAATTAATAATAAAATAATTAATAATAATAAATAATAATAACAATGATAAAAATAATAATAAAAATAAATGATGGCTGTGTGGTATGTTACTTTGGTCATGAATTCACGATTCGATTTCTACTTTTCTTTTTTCTCTTTGCTCAAAGCAAACCCTGCTATGAAAATGGAAATTCGAATGATACTACGGATCGCTTATAGCTTTGCAAAATGGTTATCTGACTAAGGGGTTTTTCTTAATAGCCAGTTGAATGATGAGAGAAAAAGGCATTTTAATGGGCTGCCGATTGAAATAATTGCTTCAAATAAAGTCAATCCATAATAGGCTCGATTCCTTAATAGAGGTAAAATTGTCATTAAAATCTGTGTGTTGGAGAGAACCCTGCTGCTTTCATCCCCAAATAACTGCCCAGCGAAGGGACCTTGTTCTCGCAGTGTGGTACCAATCTAATAAAAACCATGGAAACTGAAGTATAAAAGAATATTAAAAATCAGTGATGAAATAAATTAACCCTTCTCTGAAGCTGATACATTCAGATAATCTGAATCGTGGCGAGTTTTTTTGCTATTTGACCATTCTTCTCTTTCATTTTCTATTAATTCATTCAAGGATAACTAAAAATGAGAATGAGATGGAATTTTGAAATGATAGTGCGGAAATGGCCATTTGTGCGAAATTATGGTAATGAATAATTATTAGCGTGCAGCCAAAATAGTGTGGCGGCTCTTCATCAATTTCAGCCAAAAGCCATATTTCACATGAGCAAAAGACTAAGTAACTTTCTCGACTTTACAAAAAGGAATTCGAAAGAAAACCTTCCGTTTTCGACTTATTCGTTGTTCAGAGCGCAGAATTAACGGATGATTACTTGTATTACCCATTTGGAAAATATTTTTTCATCGATTAAATTGGAGATATTTATAAACCTTTCTAAAAAATATGAAAAATCGCTTAATTATATTTCGCTTTTTCGAAAAATATTTTTCAAGAAGAATCAGTCGATGCTCGAAGTTCATAATTTATCGTCGAATGAAACGTGGAACATAGATGGGACATAGCAGAATAACTGAGTTGCAACCACTGAGACCAATCAACAGGTTCGAAGAAAGTTCGAACATACATGTGGTAATGCTTCATGCACTATTTCAAAAATTTCTTCAGAAAAATTTTTAACTGCAAGTGATAAGATTCGAAAGAATTCAAGAAAGAATTCAAATTATCTTTTAAAAGTAGCAATATACTTGCACTATTATAATAACCAATAATAACCAATTAAGTTTAATTACTTATTGAAATAACAATTAAGGGAAAAACCCAAGTTGCGAAAAGATCACAGTTGATGGTTGCAGCATAGGGAGCAATGGTTGTTGCCAGTTATATGCTGTTTCCCTCAAGGATATGCAGTAGTGGTCGATTTTAGACTCTTGACAGAAGTAGAAATTGTTGGAAATTACTAGGTTATACTAGATTGAGGATTCCATTATACCTTTGTTTCTGTCTGGCAAAAGGTAAAATTAATCAAAAAGTGGCGAATGGGAAAAATAATGATAGAAAAATAATATTTTAAAGAGTGTTTTTTAAGCAAATGTTAAAGATATCAAATCAGAAGGATCAAAAAAAATTAAAATTTTTAAAAATGATTAGTAAATATGAAAATAGGAAATATGAAAATTGTTGACGGCTCAGAATTAACTTTCCATGAAGAAGCCAATCAGAAAAAACCCATTCGGTAACAAGGAAACGCGATCCTTCTTCTCACCCACAAAATCCATGAAACCGATTAAACCGGGCAAGTAGTGGATAAATTGAAATTTTACCAATAAAAAAAGTGGAAAATTTTGAATTTTTTTCATATTTACACTACCTTGAAAGAAAGCATTTCAGCGAATTTGCCATAGAATTATCACATGATAACATAATCAGAAAAAATTGTTATATATTGTCATACATTGTTTATTAGGTATATTTTTATAGGATTTTTTTAAAGAAAACATGAAAACTAAAAGAAGAGAAAAGAAAATAATTTCATAAAAATTTTTTTCTCGAACATTAGACACTAAAAACTGTGTGCAAAATATAAGAGTGCTTGCCTCGAATCTCATTCTGCTCGCTTCCTTATCATCGATTTTTCCTTAATTCTCCGTCAAAAATATTGTGAAAAATGGATATGTTATTCCTGTTTTGCAACGAGTATGTTCTTCTCTTTTTTAAACCAAATGTTTTTTTTTAATTTTTTTAAATTTTAATCCATTAATTCAGTGCTCTTAATATGAATATTTAAATTGTTTTTTCGAAGTTCGAAAAGAATTAACTTATTTTAATTTGAATTGCTTTTTATTATTCAAATTACTTAATTATTATTATTAATTATTTGAATTATCAAAAAATTAGCTATAGAATTGAAGGAATTTTTTTAATCCAATATTTTATTGAATAAAATATTGTTCAAATGGTTAAAATGCTTATTATTTTAAAAATTTAAAAAATCGGAAATTTGAAAATTAAAATTTGGCGATTCCACTGTGAATCATTTGAATCATCATTCAAATCTTGTTATTTTAGTTCACTGACCACATTAATAAAATATATATTACGCAACTTCTATAATTCAAGGAAATCAAGGAACTAGAAATTATACTTGCATACATAAAAGGCTAAATGGCAGTTACTGGCTCAACTGACGGCAAGACGCATGGCTTCGATTCTTTTTTTTCATAAAAATAAATCTCTCATTATAAGCAGAAATAATAATTGCAGATCCATCTGCACCTTTACCTCTACATCGGGGAAAGGAATCCGATCTCCATACCAGCCAAACGAGAAATGGCACCATTAGAGGAACAAGCACAAAAAAATTTATATTATAAGAATACTTCTCATATTTTTATGTAAACCTTTTTAAAACATTCAACAAAATTTCAATTTCAATTTGCAGACGATTTCAACAAAAATAGCAAAATTTTATAAAAAGATTACATAGTTTTATTTCATAATATAATGAAGATAAAGATAATATTTCATAATATAATAAAGAGTGATGCTGGCGACCTGTAATTCTATAACCAAGTAACTCTCTGGCAAAATTTGTCTGGTCAGAGAACCAACGAATTGTAATTAGAAATGGCGAATACTCTTGGAAAAAAAAGAATACAACACCTACTGAAAAATTTTCAAAAAATTAAAAAGTATAGAAAATTAAGACAAAAAATGCACACCTGGTTTAGATTAGCGGAAATAAAATGCTAAATATATATTCTATATTCTTTTACATTCATAATCAAATTAAGGAACTATCAATATTATCAGTTATTAGTTAAGTGCATTAAAATATGTATCAAAAAAATATCAAAGAATGTAATAAAAAAAACCAAGGGAATCCAAAATTATATTATTCTATATTATATTTACTCTATAGTTAAGTTAAAATGAAAAATGAAAATCAAATAATAACAATAATAATGCTATAATTGAATGGCAAGATTTAACCAATGTCAGGTCATCATTTATCCGATTCTTGTTCCTTTTATTATCCTCCTCTATCCTCAAGTGATTTTCGAATGAAAAGGCTCCATCCTAATAGCCAGTGGAACTAGAAAAACAATAGCAGCCAGTATTGTTAAACGGGACTAACAAATAAAGCCGAAATAGCAAACGAAATGAATGTAATTCCGCCAATTAAGGTAACTGAAAACATAAGATATATCTTTCCAATGATAATGATATAAAAAATAATTTTAACAAATGTAAGCTTCTTTTTTTCTTACTAAAGAAGCCCGAGTAGCAATCCTTACAACAAACATTTTTAACATAATTTTAGTCACATTTATTCGAAATAAAAAAAGTATCTGAATCTGAATTTGAATCTAAACAGTGAGAACATAATAATATAAAAATAAATTTATAAATATAAATAAATTTACTATTTAATGAAGTATCATATTAATGAAATATCATAAAAATTACGTTATTCCTTATTTTGATCATAGAAATTTTGTTGTGAAAAATAAACCTGTGCGGACAGAAATTTGAGTAGCAACTATTTTACCGCCGATTACAGCAATTCCCGTGCAAACTCCATGACCAATTATTCCTCCAGTTATTACTCCATAAATATTTTCTCGTGCAGCAAGTAATATAGTAGTTAATTGACTGCGATCGCCCCATTCGGCAAGAAATGTCAGAGAAAACGCTTCAAGATAAAGAGTAGATATAAAACTGAGAATAGCATATGTCGAACTAAAATATTGCTTACATTTATACTGTTTAGAACGAAAACTGCTAACGATAAAATGAATAATTGATATTTTATGAAAATATAACTCAATTAATTATTCAATTTAATAATTCAAATAATTCAAGTAATTCAAGTAATTCAAATAAGCAAATAATTCAATTTTTAGTTAATTATTCAGCTTTGATCAAAGGAGATAATAAAATTTACTTTAAACTTAAAAAACAAACTTTCTTTGAGTTGACGATGTACCATTCTCCATATCTGATATACAACTAGAATCCATTAACAATTCTTTTTTTTGCACTTCAGCTTGGGCTTCATTATATTCTTCTTGGTTTTCATTAGCAGACATATAATATCCCTCATACAACATCTTTAGTCCAAACAGAGCAAAAAGTATAGTGGATGCATAAAAAGTAAATTTTCTCGGAATAATTTGTATTACCCAACCAAGGCTGACTGCAAAAAAAAATACAATAGAAACAATGTACTCAATTTGCACTTTTAGTTTTAAGAATTATAAGATATAAAATACAAAACGAATAAGACAAAAAATTTACCAGATAAAAGGGTCATTAAAACTAAAGCTGACATCGCGCCAAAAAATACAGTCAGCCTTGAATGTTTCATAGCCATAATTGCAGCAATAAACCATGTTTTATCGCCAAGTTCCGACACAACAATAACGGAAAATGAAGCCGCTAAGGCATGATAAAAGCCAACATCCTGAACTGAGTTAAAATAAGATTGCTTAATGAGGCAAAATAAAAAAGGACCTACAGAATTTTTTGTTGCCCAAAAAAGTACAACTCTAACAAAAGAAAAGGTACAATTTAAGCAATTAGTGGAGACAATCAAACCAGAAAATAGATGGTTATTAGAATGAGGAAAAGATTAAACTAACGTTGTCACTTTGGTTTAAGTTCATTTCATTGCTGACGAAATTTTTTTGATTTTTGGATTGAATAATTGGACGTTCAATCGAATTAAAAGATGTCTAAAAAAAATTATGCGAAAATGAAAAAGAAATTAAATAAATACTTACTTTTTTATAATACTTTTCAGTCAAAAATAATAATACTAACAACAAAAAATGACAATAATATTTTATTACATTAAATATTACCGTTATTTTCATTAAAAAAGAAAATAATAATAAGAATAAAAAATAAACTAACAATCAATAAATGATAGAAATAACAATAATAATGATAAATGTAAGCAATAGAAAAGAAAAATTCTAACCAACTTTAAATATAACTGTTGCGAATTCGATAAATTATTGCAAGAAATAGAAATAATAAAGGGAAATACAAACAAAAGAAATTTGAAAATCATAATAAAAATTCCACGAGAAAAATTAAATTTTTATTTGTTCTTGATTATTTCATATTCTCTAAATCGCTTTTACTATTAATTATGAATTTGATAGTATTTAATATTGATAATGTTATCGATATTATGAGCGATATCAAGACAATATGATATCCGTTCCAGATTTTCTGAAATCTTAGCGCTATAATCGCCTTTTAAAACCTGAAACACAACACTATATCCTTCATAATCCCTCAAATTCTTTGCACATTCTAAATAACCTCAATATTCCATTGTATTTAATATCCTTAAAGCGCATTAGAACCGCTAAAAACCCCTTCCCATCTCTTATATCCCAACAATTTCTTAAATATGGCAATACTGCCTCAATAAACACTTTTTACATGCCATATGAATATCTTCTCAAATCTTGCCATTGCTTTCTGGACCCTTTAATAAACTCTTTTCCTTACCGCTCCTTCAAAGCCCACTGTGAAGCTATATAAAAACTGTGAAGCTAAAAAGCTTCATTATGTTCTGCGCCCGAAATCGTGACCCTTCAGTTACCTTCGATGCTGGAAAATCGCTAGCAAAACGGGATTTCAGGGGGAAAATGCCACTAAAAATAGAAAAGATTTGAGCATTAGCTTTCTGCATAAGCGCTCTCTACAATTCTATCCATAATTATACATCTTTTTTCGTGCCGTTATGGTGGGCTTTTTATCATTGATAACTTGATAAAATATATCTTTTTTGATTCATTTGTAATAGTGCCACACTGTAATTAATTCACCACACAATTCCAATTCCAGGAAAACTTGGAAAACAAAAGGCACAAACAAACTCAAACCAGGAACTCTGATTATCCCCTTCTTCCCAACAAAAGCAACGATGAATGCCACGACTTAAAATAATTTAAATAAAGATAGTAAACAGAAGCTCGTTTTAAGATTCTTTGAAAATTTTGTAGCAGTAAATTGATTATTGCTCGTCGCATTCAGGTGGATTTTCTGGATTAGAATCTTCCAATTCACAAACAGAAAATAGCAATTGGTTGACGGTAATCGTGAAAGCAAAGAATTTTGAAGCTTAATTGTGGTGACGGGAAGAAGATTTACGAAAGAAACCGGTGTTAAGCGATCTTTTTTAACTACACTTAGGCGGTGGAGAGGTGGTGGGGTGGGGTGGAAGGATTCTATATGTGCATAAGCATATAGGTCACACGTAGGTTATAAAAAGATAGCAAGGAGGAGACATAATAACCCTTTTAGAATGGTGTCAATGGTGTCAGAATAACCTTTCACAGGAATGAAAAATTACTCATCCTAAACAAATGTACCGAACAAGAACGACATTAACCGCTATCATTTATATAAGAGCATTATAATCACAGAATACTTAATAGCTCTTCGAATATCTTTGCTTAGTCAAGGATTAAAGTTTTTCTAGAAGCACTCCTTATTTATAGTTAGACTCGTTCCTTTGGTTTATAGTGCTATAAAAGTGAGATATTTGGCAACAAAGGTACACATAAGTCGCAAACATCATCCGGATTTTCAGATTTATTCCTCCCGGAAATAGAACCTCAACTTGGCACTCCGGAATGAGAGCAACAACTGACTGGTCCATTTTATATGAACTGAGATGCCACATTAAGAATTTGGTTTTCTTTTCTTGGATAAAAAACAGATTTTTTCAGATGAGTACACATGTTTCAGCTTCGTACTTGAGGCAAAGCCTTACAAAATTAGCATACCATATTTCATACCATAATTGATACCTATAAGATGAATCTCTATAACGATTATTGGAATGTTCTTCCTCTGCTTAGTGAAAAAAATTACCAAAGTTTAAACCAAAAAACTTCTTGATCACGCACATTTATTAAGACTGATTCGCATGCAAAGGCTAAGAATCACATGTATTTATTGAGATCAACATGTATGAGCATTGACAGGATCTTAAGTCGTCAACCACATTTGTTTCCCATTCCATCTATTCAGTTTTTTTTAAGAACACTAACACTCACCATTTCTGGTTAGACTCGCTCTCCCGGCTTGTGGGACTAGACAAATACGCCAGGGAGCCCCTTGGCAGTAGAAGTAGAAGTACAAGAAGAATCACCAATATTATCCGTTATGATATTCTTATTCGAGATTAAATATTAAAACAGTTGCATTTTTATTTTCAAAGGAAGCAAGCAAGGTATAACGCCATATATTGATATGAAAATAATAGTAATATAAAAATTTCAGGATCCACTAATTATGCCAAAAAACGAGGCTAATGCGGAGACTATGCAGAACATCGAAGCACATCGTTGCTGAATTCCTACCATGAATTGATTGAGCCCAATTTTTTCAAAAATCTATCAGACTTTTTTTTCATTAAAGCTATTGATAACTAAGTTGCTTTATGTCGAAATAAGCGAGTGAAAATACAATAAAAGCTTTGAAGATGCTACTTTATCAAAATATTTATAAATGATCGAAGAAATAATTGAAAGTTTTTGCATCTAATGAATTCGAAAAGATGATTTCGAAAACAGAAAAATTTTATCTAAGCAGAATAAATGGAAAAAAAAACGAAAAACGAAGTTATATAACTAAATTTTCTTAGATATGCGGCATAAATGACTTCTTTTGGAGCATATTTTACACCTCACAATTATATAATCGAAGCTAAACTCTTTTCAATATACGTTCGAGGTCCAAGTCTTAAAGCATTTCTCTAGTTGATACACTGGAATTTAGCAGAGAAGATCAAATCGAAAAACCGATATAATAACACAAAACAATAAGTAAATCAAATCCAAATCTTTTTTTTAAATTTAAATTTTATAGGTCAGATTTCTATAATTTACGATCTTACAAAAATTTTTTATTTTTTACCCATTTTTACCTATTTTCGCAAAAGAGAGAGGAAAATTTTCCATCTTTACATAAGGGATTATACTAAGAAATTGGTCAAAGAAATCTTGAGCTGCATCGTAGAGATCTGTGGAGAAATATTGTTAAATTCTCTTGCAAAAGGAAAGATAAACTATTTTGTGAGCTAAAAAAATTTAATTGAGCCTATGGAATGCAAATTTTACAAATTTTAGAATCAGAGGAGAAATGTACAAGTTAGGCCCATAAGCCCATAACAACCATGCGTATTCCATTATAGTGTAATATTTAATGAGTGAATAAATGAATTATGACATAGAATATGCGAACTGCTCTCGCTACGTTTCGGCAAATTCAGATATACCATGAAACCGCGAAAAATCTCGTAAAGCTATGAGAAAAATGAAAAATTGATTTTTTTCTGATATCTAAATCGATTTCGTCGTTAATTAGCTATGGTTAAAATGGATTAAGAGCTACATAAAATATTGTGAACCCAAATGTGGCCGAGAAATTTTATCAATGTCCAGGCGGGATATCCCTTTTGTTGATAGATTTTTGCATATACAAGTTGCCTACCTTTTTATTTTCTCTATTTTGACCATATAATGGTTAATTTTCCACGAAGTATTTTTCTTCTAATAGCAGCTGGCATAACAAGGATAAAGTGTTTGTATTCTTAGCTATGTATTCTTTTATGTGCCAACCTTTTAATAAATCTTTCAAATTGGACGAGTGAAAAATTTGAAGTTCATCTTATAACAAAATACACGTTTTTTATACCATTAAATACCATTAGTTTGAGAAACTAAATTTATTATTAACTAATTTATCATTTATGTCAAATTTTTTAAATTTTTATCTCGTTTTAGAAATACAGTAGCAATAAGTATTATAAATTATGTAAATATATATAATCACTTTTTAAGTATTTTTTTCCCTGTTATGTAAATTTTCTTAAATAATTTATAGTTTTTTTCGCTTTTAAAACGAGGAAAATCAAAAATGGCGACAAGAATGATTTATAAATCATTAGAGAAAAGTATGGAGGAGAAAACATGCTCTCAGACTTTTGATGGGAGCAAGCCTTTTCATTAAAAGCCAAATCCACCAATCCGACTTTCATTCTTTGGCGAAAAGGTTTCCTCTAATAGTATGTGAAGCAAATAAACCAGAAATGGTGAGTGCTATAGGAAAAAAGAAAGAAAGGCAAAATTGAGAGAAGAAAATGAAAGTAATTTTCAACCCTTTCAACACATATGCACGTATAATTTTGCAACATTAGCCCAAAAAAAGATAAAAACTGGCTGGATTGATAAAATCTTATGAGAAGATTTATAACTATATGGCGCTTAAATTTTATGACTTCTGAATTTTATGAATGGAAAGGTCTGAACAATGGTTCCACACTGAGATGTTCTAGCAGAAAGTGGCGCAATGCGTTGCAACGTTCATATTACAAAACTATAAATCTCGATTAATCTAGAAAATGTTAAGTTTTATTTTTATATTTTATTTAAGAAATTTTTTTTTGGGAGATAATTATATTTTATTATCAATTTCTTATCAATATTCTCATTTCACTAAATTATTTTAAAACTTTTTTAAAAGTTTTTAAAAAACTTTTTTTTTCTGTATGATTTTATGAAGGAATACTTAAAATATTTCGAAGTTGAAGGCTGAAAAGAGGGGAGACCTCACACTTGATTTTTAATTACTGGTTGTCCCAAACAAGTAAAACAGACAAATTCAAATTGTCTCTCAAAAACATTTCAAGAAAATGAAATTTATTAAAAAAGAGTCTGAAATTAATTCTTTATTTTCTTGTAGTTTTTTGATTTTTTGGTTATTTGTTCAAGTTTTTGTTTTAATTCCGAGTGACTGCTAGTTCAAGAAATTTTAAAAGTTTTTTATAGCCAATAAATTTAAAATTAGATGCTGTCTAAATTATTATACATCTTTTGTTCTTTTCTTGAAAAGATTTCGGCCCATTATAATTCATTTGATAAAGCAAACCCACTAAAACTGGTTATCAATTATTTGTTTTGACCAAAACACCTCAAAAACATGTTTTTTTCAATAATTTTAATCAAGGTGACTTGTCGAATGCAATATTTTGCTAATATTCTTGCCTTTTTACCATCACCAACCGTGCAAAAGAGTAACTTAACTTTATCGCAGTGTTTAGGGGAGATAAAATATCAAATCTCCCCATTTGTTTATCTCGTCATCCGTCGTTTTATACAACTGTATGTAACCTCTTCGATGCCATCAATATGGGCAGCGAAATAAAAGTAAAAATGTTGATTAATACTTATTTCGTTTTTTTTTAAGAGTCCTCACCACTAATGGTTAAATTCCACTGGCTTATCGCATTGGGTAAACGCCAGGGAGTCCCTTGGCGATAGAAATACAGGTGAGTCGCCAGCATCACCCGGATTTTTGCACAGATTTATTCCTATCGGGAATCGAACCTCAACATAGACTTCGAATTGACCAACAAACCACTGAGCCATTCTATCCACAGTACTTTTTGATAATCTTATTTCGATTCCATTAATCGTATTTTTTCGATATTTTTAGTTAAGAACTAAGTTGATTATTTTCGTTGAATCATTTGAATCATTTAAAGCGAATTGTAATCTTAATTTATGGAAGAAAAACGAGTTTTCTGAAAAATAGGAAAAAAATAGGAAACGTTTTGCTTGAACCAGTTTTTCTAATAAAAAATTGTAAGAATTAAGCTTTTGGAAATAAGTAAGTAATGAATGAATGAATGACACCAATTTAATTTTGTAATATATTTCCAGTCATCAAACTGAATCATTTCTTAATTTGAAAAAAATTTCTTCTTTTTCCAAGAACAGCCATCCTAATTTGACTCATTCCATTGACTATTAGGATAGGACTTCTTCGTCAGAGAATCTTTTGGAGATAGAAATGCGGGCGATTCCCTGACGTTGTTCAGTGACAAGTTTACTGATCACTTGATCACGATTGATAGTCATCGGTCAGCATCACTCGATAACCTCAGTAAAGCTGGTCAAGATTCAGATCTGTAATATTTTCTGTAAAAATTAATTATGTAATTATTCAATTAGGATTTCGTTACATAATACAAGTTTGTTCCTTATCATTTTCATTGATAATTTGAGAATTCCTATAAGAACTAGAAAAAGAAAATGAATTATTAATAGGAATTAATGATGGCTTCTATACTTAAAGCTTGGAACTGCTAAATGATAATAAATTGGACCGATAATTAGGGCTAAATCGGTGATAACAATAGGAATTTAAATAGTATTGTGCGCAAATAAATAAAAATATTTGCTAATTAATTGCATTTGAGATTTTCTAGATATGATTTTAATAAGACTGCGGTTAGAAAAATAAAATTAGGTCAGAATTCAGATTTCTGAATTATTTTTATAAAGATATTCATTGATGTATTGAATGTTAACGCCCTTGAAATTTTTGCTAGTAATACGAGGAAGAAAAGGAAAAATATGAAGAATCGACATGAATAGAGGAGCGTATTAGTGAAAACCAACGAAGAACAAACAGGTTAAGCGACGGACGGACGAACGGAATTGCGTTAAAAACTCACCCGCCGACAGTCATCAAATAGTGGTGCCTTCTTCCATCTCATCATCGCAGTGAAACGATTCATGTAGTTCTAAACTATTCTCATTATAATAATACTATTATAATAATTGAAGCGATTAGAATTTATGATGGCAAAAGTTGAAGTACAAATACGAAGTTGTTTTTGTTGTGGTCTTTCAATTGCTACAATATTTATCGCTCTTTATACATTGGTTTGTTTTATAATTCGAAAATTTTTCTTTTAAATATTCGACTAATCTAAAAAATTTATAAAAATTTCTTACTAGGAATTCTTTTTCACTCCTCTAGATATGACTCAAATTATTTTTTGATCAATTTATCGTTATTCGCTTTATTATTTATTTACTCCTTTATTATTTATTGTTCTAATTTTTTCGCGCTTTAAATTTTATTTTTTTAAGTACCACAAAATTTTTGTAAATACATGAATAAATAGGTTAGCGCTCATCTTTTCTGGTAAACCCTTGTGGTGAGACTGGCGATTCACTCATATCTTTTCGCTACTCTACCTCTACTGACTGACAATAAGAAATTTTTTACCAATGAGAATAAAATTCGAAAGGAAATATGACCACTGAAAAATGAAAAAATTAGTGAATTTTCACAAAAATTTTCGTGAAATATTTATACTCAAAAAATTCTATAAGGATAAGAAAAAAGGAGAGAATTTTAGTAATATTATGCATCTCAATTGGTATTTAATATCGGTTGAACTGGCACAAAATGTGAAATCGGTTATAATTTAATGATTTATTTTAATGCCCCAAATTTCTCGTTCATAAATTATTTATTATACTTGAAAATTTCAGCGCATCGCCTATAGTAGACAATTTAATAATATATTCTTAATATATTATATGATATATTTATTCTTCAACAAACAATTAAGATTTTTCTTCTTTACTTTTATTCAAATAAAGAAGAGAATAGTACAAAAGATGTAAAAAATTGCTGCTTCTTAAAAAAATTAATTTTGGTGCAAAAATTACAATTATTACTTTTTTATTGCTTCGTTATGTATTGTTATTGTTATGTATTAGCAAAAAATAAAATAGGAAAAAAATAAATTCAAAATAAAAATAAAAATTCAACAAAATTGTAAATTTTGTAAATTTGATTTAAATCATATCAATCCTAATGAAGCAATAAAAAAGTAATAATTGTAATTTTTGCACCAAAATTAAAATAAATAAACGGACCTATTGAATCTTATTTTACAATATATATGTAAGACAACGAATATTTCACTAGATAAATTGTTCCACTAGTTAGCTCCTTGTTAAGTAATCATCATTACTGGTTAGGCTAACTGCGCTGACTTTTCATAAGCCTAGAAATTTTTGACCGTCATTTGGCTACAAGTAACTTGCCAACACCACCCATAGTTTTTGTTAAAGCTCCTGGATGTCTTGTTCCTGAATCCGATAATCTGAGCCATTATCCACAGCACTATTCTATGCTATTTCACCAGCAAGTCAACGAATGATGTGGATAGAAGTGGACAAATCTTTCAAGATTATAAAAATTCAAATTATCTTGATTAAATCTTGATGAGAATGAGAATGAAAGCATATTTGTAGTTTTACAGAAAATTATCCATCCTTTGAATGCGAAAATAAATCTATCATTAAAAATAAAATGCGAAGTGGATTAATTAATAGTTCTACTATTGTTAAAATTTATCAGCTTATCAATTTTGTAATTTTCATTTAGTAAATTCATTAATTCAAAATTAATTAAATCTAAATCTAAATAAATCTAAATTAATAAACGCCATAAAAGTGAAATAACCGAACTAATAATTTCTATAAAATAAAAATAAAATATAAATATAAATTACCAGATTTTATTTTTCAAAGTTAAGGCTAAATTAATTTTAACGATTATAAAGATTTTAAATTATCTTTGTTAAATGGGAAAATTAATCTAGTGGTATATACATTTGCAATCAATTAATTTAAATAGTTCACTGGTATCAGTAGATCTTATCAACCGTGCCTCTCTTACTATCATTTTTCCTTTGAAGCAGCTATTCTAAGAATGTTTCGAGAATCCTTAGGATTCATTTCGCAATGTAATTGGTTTATGTATATGATTTATATAAATGAAATAAATATTTTAAAATATCTCCAGCTTTAATTTCTCTTATTACGATTATCAGTAATATAATTTGAATAAAAACTTACTTGGGAACAAGAGTATTTTTCTTCAAGAGTATTTCTGTTAGCAGAAGGTTCCAGGATCGCTAAATATGGCGAAAAAATTTTTAAAGTTCTTCTTTTTTTGCCGTCAAAATTGTTGGAAATTGTTTTTGCAAAAATAGCTTTATTGCCTTAAAAAACTGCTATATGATTCACATTTTTTGACCGTACAAATCTAAGGAATTAAATTTATCTGAGAGCTCTCAGTTATGTCCGCTACGCTAGCTTGCCAGATAAATTTTGTCAGAGAGCCACTTGGTAATAGAAGTACAACTGGATCGCCAAAACCGATAAGCTTTTTGAAAGATGCCTTTAACCCTTCCTGGAACAGAATTGCAGCATCTTTGAAGTGAGGAGAATGAAATCATTCTACCGACGAAAATAAGGAAATGATAAAGATGCTGCAATAAATAGTGAGGAAATAATAAAGAAATAGAGAAAGAGCATAATTCCAAATAATTTTAATTAAGGGAATTTTTTATATAAGAAAGATCTAAAATAGTAATAGTAATCCATGTATAATCTATGGAATCTTTAATATATTTAATTCAGTGTGGCAGATAAATGATTAGGATGACTGCTAAGTGATAGTGATAAGTGAGTGGAAAGTGAAGTGGAAAGTGATTTCTGAATAAAATTTATTTATTTTTCGTAAAATGCGTGGAATTCTTTTTCTTTTATATTACCGAAATTACTCTTATACTGCATTTATTGATAAAAATCTTAAATAGGTCAGCGCTGCTCCTTTTTTTAACTTCTTGCACTATAACTATTGAATAAAACGGAATAACTGGTCTAAATAATTTTGAAAGCTTATAAAATTTCTTTATTGAACCATATTTTGTCATTTTATTTGAAATAAAACAAATTCGCAATATCGCAAACAAAATAAAGCAGAAAAAAATCTATTAATTTTTTAAGAAATTAAAAATTTGATGAAAAATAAAGAACGAAACAAGAATAGTGTAAAACCGGTTGCTTTGATTAAAAGCATATTTTTTTCGATTATCCAACGAAATTTTCATTTTTTGGAACGATAATTTGACTATCAAATTTATAAATTTTTAAGACATTTTTTTAACGAATTTCTTTCACTGAAATTTTAATCACTGAAATTTCATTTCTTTAAATTTTTAACTCAAATTTTAAATCCTAAATTCCCTTATTTTAATAAAAAAATTTACTAAAAAATGCCTTAAAAATTCACCGTTTGGATATTATTTAATCTTTTTTAATAACTAAATTAGTTACTTTTTTTTAAAGAATCCTCACCATTACTGGTTTAACTCGCTCCACTGGCTTGTCACAATTGAGCAATATGCCAAGGAATCCCTTGGCGATATAATAATAGAGCCAGGTAAGTGCCAGAATCACCCGGATTTTTGTCAGCTTTATTCCTGCAGGGAATCGAACCACAGCAGCGGCGCTCCCAATTGAGCAACAACCCACTGAGCCACTTCACTTAGCAATTGTAAATTTTTATAAGATTTATTAAATTATTATTTTATTTAATCAAATCATTTTTTTGTGAAATATATATCTCAGGATGAAATGAAAATGAAATGAATAAATGAAAATTTATAAGGAATTGCATTTTATCATTTTATTTGATATAAGGCAGCTCAACAGTTTTTACCACCACTAAATAACTAAATGATTTATAGTTATTGTATTCGTTATTAACTGGACTCGCAAGTTGGGGTTTATCAGATACAACGGCAAATAAAGATCAATCGCATTATAATAGCTGTGAATTGGAAGCGCAGGGTAAAATCAGATCAGGTCTATATACTTTTTTATTTTTACTATATTATTATATTATTTGAAAAAAAGTTATCAGTTAGTGAAAGCACGGCAATCTTGATAAGAATTTTAGCGCTATCTATATTTCTAAAATTATTATCAATTTCTTTTTTAAGACTCAAAAAAAGTATAGGATATACCTACATCATTGTTTATATATAAATATATAAAAATAAATAAAACACCATTCACCTATTTTTTGAATTCTTTGTCAGACTAGACAAATTTGCCAGACAGACCCTTGACGATAGAAGTAAAGATGAATTGCCAGCATTACCCGGTTATTTGGAGATCCATTCATCTATTTGGATAAATAAATAGTAGATATAATAAAATTTTAGAAGTAAAAATCATAATCTCTAAAATGGCGTTTTATTGCAGATAATCGAAAATTAACGTTCCACGAAGGAACGACAACGATCATTGTTGAAGATTCCACATCTTATCACTGTTCGTTTGGACTTTATACTGAAGAACTGAAATTTTCGTATGTCTGTAAGTTTTCTTGAAATCCAATCGTAAAATAAAACAATTTATTCGGTTTTTAATTAATTGTTTTCTTAACATTTTTGTCATTTTTTTTTTCACATAAATCGTTTGAATTATCAGTTACTATGTGTTCGATTAAATTATTAAAATATAAAGTAATTCAAAAGGCCCTTTTTCCAATTTTTCTCTTTAAAAAATTGTTTTGCTTGAAATCATCATTTCCTTATTTCATTATTTCATTCCGATTATTCCCGATGGCCATTTTTCTTAGCAATTGAAATAAATGCAAATAGAAAAATTGTACTTTTAGGGCGAAAATTTACTTTAGTTGCGGATATCTTATTATATGTATTATTGATAATTGCAAGTATTTTATTATTAATTGGTCTTGCAACTTATATCGAATGGTTTTTATTACCTTGGATATTTCTTATGACTTTAGACATCATACGCGGCTTAATATCAGTCTTTTTTATCTTCTTCTTTGCACATGTTTGTATTATTCTTATCTCTTTTATTCATATAAAGGCTTTTTTCCTTAAGGATCACAATCTTAAGGAATCCTTAAAGATCGGGTTAAAAACGTTAAGGACACAAAAGATGCACATGTTTGAATTTAAAATTATCCATCATCGTATCTAAATGAATTTTCAGTGGAATTTGGCACGTATTGCTACAGGAATATTTTTCCTAGGCTTACAATTCTTTCATGTTAGTTTATTACATTATATTCTTAGCGTTTCTTTTGCATTTTGATGAATTAAGATTAGATTATAACGAAATTTTTGCGAATCAAGAAATGGAGCTTATGCTTGGATTGTTTAATTTTTAAAATTTTCTAGAATCCTTTGTCTGGCATTTGAATTTCTTGGAGCAGGGCCAATAATTATTATAATTTAGAATAAATATAATATTCTTCCATTTTTTAAATTTTATAGATGTCTATATTGATGGTAATAATCGCAAAATTTCAACGAATGCGTTATCATAATAAAGGAAATATTATTGATGGTGAAAGAAATGTTGGTTTTGTTTCTTCAAAATATTTTCCTGAAAGTTGTTTCAATAATTTTTCCTAAGAAAAATAATTTGGAAATTTTTCACTTTTCTAAAAGTGCTTTCTAAAAGAAAATTTTCTAAAAATTTTCTAAAGGTGCTTTCATTAAATTTTTAAAAAAGTATTATCGAATTTCAAAAAACGAATTTTAATTTATTTATTTATGAAACGAATTATCTCATTGCTACTATTAGGCATTTTGATGGGATTTTTTAGTTTGATGGAAGAAATGGTGCTTATCCAACACTTCCATCAAGTTATGCTTATTCACCACAAATGAGAACAAGAGATCAGCACTACGTCGAGCAACAGTATCGAGATCCACGTATATATGATAATAGTGTGTATCGATATCAACAACAACAACAACAAATGAGGTATTAGCAAAATCAAAAGAAACCAATTCTTGCCTCAAAAAATTACTTAAAATTATTTGTGATGCTGTTTGACTTACTTTTTTGCTCAAAAAATGGAAAATAACAATACAATTGTAAGTAGTTTACGAATAAAAGAAATTTTAAGAAAAGTATTTTTAGTTCATTCATTCATTCATTCATAGTTTTAATTCATTTATTAAGCAAATTTATAATCTCGCTATTGTGTTGTTTTTTCTTTTTCGTATATGATTATTATTGTAATTATTTTTTACAATTGTATAATTTTTTATTATAAAAATTTGATAAGTGAATAAGTAATTTTTAATTGGAAATAATGCACGAAAGTACAAATTTTTCGCAAAAAAACGCATTTATTAATAAAAATACAAGTTTTAAAATATAATTCCGGTCTAATATAATGAAACTAGGTCACTTGTTAATAAGTTTAAAGTAAATAGAAAGGCAATTTGTCTGGCAGCAATCACTCGGATTTCACTTTTAATGATTGGTTTTACTCATACCAAAAGGTATAAAGAATCGAAAAAATAATTTAAATAAATAATTTATTTATTTAAACACTAATTAAATTTGGCTAATTTTATGCATTATGTGCACCATTTTCACCATCCTCAGTCTCGTCATTTATTCACCGCAAAATAAATTCGTTAATAATTTATAAATTTAATTTAATTATAATTTATAACAGAATTGAATTAAAATTTCGAACATCGAAATGAAGAAATTTTGCTTCTTTTTCTATTTTGTTACAATTTTTTCACAGTTTTTATAATTCCAAGTGAATGTAAAACGAATAATTTGATAATGAACGCGTAGTCATGTGGAATTTCATTGTTAATTGTTATCTATAAAACTGGAAATATTATATTTTATAGTATATAATATTTAATTATATATAATAATTATAATTTTACTGTACTTTTGGAAGCGATTGGAAATAAGATTTTAAAAGTTTTTATAATTTTAAATAAGATATTAAATAAAAAATTATGGTTGAAAAACTTGCCATTAACAAGATATAGGAAGATATAGGAAATTATCATTTCTGGTTTATTTAGGATCACTGATGACGAGAGTGAAAGCATTTTACTAGAGTGGCATTGGCTTAACCATTTTGATTCATGTTAATGTAATACTAATAATAATTCATCTCAAGCATCATTATTCTAAGTCATTGTTTCGACTGGCTTCATTAGCTAGGTGATGCACTTTCAAGAATACCAGTCTAATGCCATATCCGAAAGCAACTATGTCACTGGGCCACATATAAGCTCAAAACCTCATCTAAACGTATCATTTCCAGCTTTCTTTGATTTTGGCAACATCCACTATAAGACTTCGCATGATAGGCATTCATGATAGATATGAATAAATAATTTAGCCTTTCAGATATGAATATGTGGAAAATTCCTTTCTACCTTAAAAAATTGAACAAATACTTCTCTTGATTTATAAATTACAATTCAGCAAAAAACGAAGCATATTAAATGAACCTGACGACAAACTTTCCTGCAAGGCAACTAACAAATAAGCTGCGCAGGTCAAAGTCACGATTTCCATTCTCTGCGTAAAAGCAGAGCTCTTATGACAGCTATATGATAGCTTTACATGCACCAAAAGATACCATTAGAATTCATATTTCTTATATTCTGTATAAACATGCTGGTGACATGGTCACTAATGTTCCATGGATATGATGAGAAACTGGATAATAAAGTCATGACGCTCCGGCATTTCCCGTGATCTTTTCTTCGTGATTTTTTCATACAATTTAGCTTCGCTCCACCTTTTAATATTCCGATTTGGTTGATTCCACTAATTATTAGGTCTTTTCACCACTGATTCAATTGTTTATAGAGAAATATATAGGACATTCTCAATTTACTTTATATATATATATATATGCAAATCTTCCTTTGATTCCCAGTGGGCGGTCTGGGTCACCCTCAATCTCGGATTCTCTACATGAGGATTAGGAGATTAGGCAGACAAACTTTCTGAATCTCACCTAGGAACCTTCAGCGGGAAAGGATCCGATGAGGATTGGCTGCGATTCGAATCGTTGTTGCTGTTACATTCCATATCGCCTTAATTACTATGCTATTCCTGTGCTTAAGTATTTATATACTTATAAATACTTCAAAATATTTCAAAATTAATTGAAAAATTATAAAATCGTCATTTCCTATAATTTGTGGCCTTATCATGTCAATTTCGCAATTCGAATAATTTATCCAGAAGATCAGTTCCTGGCAATGACGCCATGATAGACGAGAATATGTATGGCAATATGTTAATGTTAATTTGCCTAAAACCCATCATTGATTAATTTTTTTCTTTGTTCCCTCTTTCCTATAGGGTTCCTCGGGCCTCTTGGATTCTTTGGGCAAAGCAAATTTTATCAGAACACAGAAATATAAGTGAATCACTAGCATACTCACTGCTCGGACATTTCGATAGATAAGTTTATTTCTGCCAGGAGTAGAACTGCAGTATCAGCGCTTCAAAATGAAAGTAACAACCCGGTGAACCGGTGAACTGTTCTACTTGTCTTTAAGTTGTTCTTTTGTCAAAAATAAATTTTCTGTTTCAAGGAAATTTCATTCCGTTAAATTTACAATTTTTTAACAAATTTTTTTAACAAATTTTTCAATTTTCTCTTCATTAATTTGAATTTTTATACTTTGTTAAAATAAAATTAATATTTCTAATTTGCATAATTATTAAACTAAGATATTTAAGTTATTTATTTTTATTTCAAAGTTCAGACCTTTAATCTTCAATTTTATGTATTCAACTGAATAAATTTTTCTTTTCAATTTATTTTTCAGCTTTTGTCGAGAAAAATGTAATTTTTGCTGAATAAATATAAAATTGCAGAATTGAAAAATCTTTATTTCTCTATAATTTAAGCTGTGCATGAACTTCTTTAAGATCAGATGGTCAGTTGGTAAATTGCTTCTACTGAGCTCAACTAACATAGGTTCGATTCATTACCACTTCACGAGAGTAATCCTGTCATTAAATTCCGAATGGACCTGCGGACCTGTATTTCTGACCTGTATTTCTATTCCTGACTCTGTGGCTAAGAAGTCTCATTTTAATAGCCAAATCGGGAACAGCGAAACCAGAAATGGTTGATTAGGTGATGACAAAAGGAATAAAATGGATGCAAAATTGTTTATAGAATTGTTGTCCCATGTCCTTACAAGAATATAATTTCTGATGCGATTTGTTTCTTAATCGATAAGTAAATTAATGAGCACACTGCACAAGTTCATACGAATTTCTCCCGTTTTATATGTTTCTGGATGTAAGTCAACATTTTTTACTGCAATATAAGCAATGGTTTTCTTTTTTGCAACCTTTTTTATTTAAAATTGAACTATAAAGTTTTATTATATAATTGCTAATATAATTTATTATATTTAAATATACTGTATCTGAATTTTATATTTTATGAAGAGTTCTGTTATCACTGAACTGTCTGTTAAAAATAAATTCGATTGCAGTCTCGTAATGAGAATAAAATAATCCTTAAAGCTGAAAAGCCGATGGTGCTGCTTATCCTACATTTCGGTCGCATTCGGTACAATGATAGATTTTTAAAAGTAATTAGTCACTTTGAGTTCATTGCTTAAATTTGACTAAATGTTTCTCAGATAATAAGCGCTGCTATAAGGTATCCATCTTTTTCCGTGTTTAGTTTTTGGCAAAAAGTGAAAAATTGTCATATTAGCATTTCTTGTTATATTATTTCGTGGGAAAGAGTGGGAGAAGAGGCAGAAGTTAGATGGAATTATGATATTGCCGATAAGCTGATAAGTATTGCGAAGAAATCATTAGAGGCTCATTTGGCCGACTGGGCAACACATTGCTCTTACATTATTATCCATTATCGGAAAATGTATTATTGCTTTTGAAATAAAGGTTAGTTTAAGCTAAAAGCTATTTCTTCTTCCTCTCTTTATCCTCTTCCTTGCCAATTCGTTGTGCAATTTGTGGAAAATACCCATTTTCAATTTGAAAATAAAAGGAAATGAAGAAAAAAAAACAAGTGGGAGTACGTTGTCTTTCATTCGTGCTGGTTATTTAGCATGCAACTACTTTATTAATTTTTATTAATTTTTTCTATTAATTTTAGCTTTGGAAAATGGTGAGGCTCGAAATTTGCCAAGCCATAGAATGAATCACATGAAGGACAGAAACTCAGGGGAGTGCCACCACTTGTTATAATTAATATTGCTCAATTAATATTAATTAATATTTTTGAAAAAAAAGATTTACTCTTTCATAAAGTGAATTTCTTTCATATAACCCCAGTATTGACGCTTTTTATATGAAAGCCATAAATCGCTACATTGGCATTTTTTGACATTCTTTTTTCCTTCTTTTATTATATTTTCATGTAAATAATTTGATTGTTATAGGACAAATCCATACTTAAATAAATCCGAATTGCCAAAATGCGACTGTCATGGCAAACGCTGAAGCGTTATGCCCATCATCTGTTTTCTACTTAAAAAATGCATTTAAATGTGCAAACTAATGTACGTTTCTATTGTGAAATTTCTAACTGATAATGGATGAGAAATCTTTTGGTTAAAAATTTATATTTCAGCTAATCCTAATTGCATTCGCAATGGCACCAGATTTGTGCATAAATCCACTTACAGTTGCAGCGGTTCATTATTAGGATGTCCAGCAACCTGCAGTTTATGTAATAAACCTGATGCTAATGGTCGTTGTCCAGATGTTGCTAATGCCCAATTGTTTGCAGTTAATGCTGTTATTACCATGAAGGAATCGATATATGATACAGAATTGCATGGCAACATGCAGAATAACTACATGCATAGCCACAACTGGCATGATTATCTTAATTTTTTTCCATTTATCAGCTTACAATATTGTTAATCTTTGAACAGAAATTAATCATTAGCTTACTTTTCATACAAAGGTAAACGATGAATTCAGTAATAACGAACAAAAACAAAATCACAAGTTTTTAAATTAAGATTAACATATATGCCTTGGTTACATAGCAGAATTATGCAAATGAATGATTTTGTTTATGATTTTATGAATGATCTAATTTATTATGAAATTTATAATTCATAAATACCGTATATAATAATTTTGTTTTTTAATGGGTATAAAGCTTAGCTTATAATTAATTGGCTTAGTTTTAAGTTTAGCTCATCTTTTCACTTTGTTTCATGTATCGTAAAGTATGGTAGCAAAAAAAATTCATTTATTCATTTTATTGATATTTACTATTTAATTTTTTTTATTCAAAAACGATATATTATCAGTACAGCATATTATCAGAACCCTTTTTCGCCGGCTGACAACTATCTTAGCAAGTTCTAAACTATAAAAAACTTAGATTTGTCACAAATTTTTATATGTTTAGTTTCTGCACGCTCAGATGAACGAAGCATTTGTCCACAGATGGCTTCATTTTGCAATAACGCACCCTGTACCACAGTAATGTCCCCAACGGTCAAAAAAATCTACGGTATCGCTAAATTTGAAAAAAATTAGTTCATTTTGTGGAAAATTTTTGCTTCTATTAATAATTATCTAATTTTCGCAAAATCATTTATTTGCACGAGTGAAAAAATTATTTGTTTTTAATTTCTCGAAACAATTTTATAAAATAAAATTTTAAAAAAAGAAAATTAAATTTTTTCAAAAAAATATTCTTAATTTTTCTTTTTAATCTGATTAATTCATTGCAACTTTATTTATTAAATTTTTATATTTATAAATTTTTAATGCATGGAAAAAAGCTATAAATATTCTCAACGTATGGGGAATGGAAGGAGTTTGTCGAAATCAGCACTGCTACGATGCGCATGCAAAGCGCAGCTCAAATTGGCTCCTTTGCAAAGAATTAACCTTCGATATTAATGGAATTAGTTCGAAAAAAAGTTGTTGAGAGTGGTTACTTAGCAGAATCATGCAAATAAATGATTTTGTTTATGATTTTATGAATGATTATATTATTTTCTCGCTTCTGTACTTTATGTTTTCACGTCGAAAAAAACACGCTTTTTTGTCGAAAATTCTTATCTTTCAAATATTTTGCGATAAATGAGGTAAATACGTTAAACAGCTTTTTCTGAGAGCGCCTCAGCTGATTCTGCTCATTCTACTGAATTGTCGAACTGTAATTTTGTAAAGGTGCCAGAATGCAATCGAGGCGAGTTGTCAACATTATCTGGTTTTTTAAGGATTTTTTATTCCTCTCACAAGCAGAATTTCATTCTCGGCTATCCGAAACGAGAACATCATCACTAAGCCATTCTACCTCTTTTTCGTCGGCTGACAGCATAGTTGGCTAAGCGTTGTGCCGGACCCTAACTCGAGTCATTTTCGATGAAAACACCTTGCCACTGAAGCTCTACATTAAACAATCACTTTTTATTATTCTGCGATATCAGCTGGATCATATCTATTTTCATTTTGCAAAAATTGAATCCACTGTAAGCCTGGAATTTATGTTATCAAAGAAAAGATAAAAGAAATTATGCATTAATGAAGCAGAATAATGTGGTAAGCCTAACTCAAATGCTTACTCAAATTAGAAGCAATTATGAAAAAACAGAGAAGAAGGCAAAATTCATAAAAGCATTGGCAACAAGATAAAACTGCGAGAAAAAAGTATCGGAGCTTCAAATTATATTTTACTTATGACATATATATGATGATTTACCGCAGACATAAAGCACTTCTGCGTGGAAGTAATTAGTTAGTTCTCTGGTCGAAAAGCCCGAATTTAACAACTCGCATTCGAGATTAAGAATTAAGAAAAGCTAAAAATTTATATAATCTCGAAAATTTATTTGCGTTTTTATTAATTATCACGTTAATAACATACAATCATTGCAATCATATTATGTACAATCACTAAGAAACAAATTAATGAACTAACAAAAGGAAAATAATGGAAAGCATAAGAGCCCTTAATAGAGTAGAATCACACCAGTGACGTTTTGAAATTTGCAAAAAAATATTTTTGAAGTTTTGTTTTTTCCTAAGAACGCTGGAGAAAAATTTCATGCTTCTTTTACCGAATTTTATGGCATTGAACACAGTGTAAATCGGCAGCTTATGAAAGAACTGCAAGGACGCTAGACGAGTCATCGAAGGCAGCAAAAATTACGTCTCAAATCCAAATTTTATATGTAATATACTTTAATAAAATCAAATAAATTCAACAGTGATCGAAGAAACGTGGAATTTTAAATATCTCGAATCCACTTCCATACCTAATGGCCAGGCTGTAAATGAAATCCCAGCTATAATATATGCAACCAAAGCTGCATTTCGTTATGCAAAACTAAGTTGCGTGCTTTATATAATATTCTATAACGACATCATAATAAAGAGCAAAGAAAAAAGTACTAATATGCAGGCTACTTATATTTATTTAAAACAATATTTTATACAATTAATATTATAATAAATATTTAAAATATTAAATATTTAAATTTATTTATTTATTGATAACCAGCCAAGCAGGGCGACAACGCTCTGTGTTTGTATTAATAATAACAATTAAGATAACAGAAAAAGAAAACACAAAAAAAAACATAAACAATAACATAAACAAAATTAATTATAAAACAATATGACAAAAATTAACAATTTAAAGAGGAAATTACAAATCAATATAATATAGTACAATTCGAAATATATAACCTGAAGATAAAATCGAGATTTCTCACTTCCTGCAGTTCTTGCCTGGTGTAAACTCCTCTTTTTTTGTTTTTAAATAATATAGTAAATGATATTATCTAGTCTTTTTTTAAAGACAGCTAAGGATGAGGATGCACAAGCTACATCGTTCGGTAATTTGTTCCAGTAGTTAATAGTACGAATAAAGAAGTCATGAGTCCTTAGTTTAGTTTTGCATATAGGTTTTAGTAATTTAGTAATTTTTTAAGCCATTAGTTCTTGTTGGATTCAAATTTAGTCTAAAGTTATAACATTTCGAGCAATCTAGTTTAACATAACCATACAGAATCTTATATGTGTAAATTAAATCTTGTTAATTCTACGAACCATCCAATCCATGT